CGCTACTTTTAAACGAAGTACAATCTTATGGTGCATTTTTGGACGAGGTTTTTGTAACTACATTAATGTCACGTTACTGGATAAAAGTTCGAGTTAGATAAATTATAAAAGCGCAAACACTTATATTTTTTACTTGTTCCACTATTCCCGTGCAGGAGCGGCATGTCGCTACATATATATATATATATTTTACGAACAACGCTTTTAATACCTTGCATTGGGGAGAAAGATCGTATCTCCTTGGTCCCGGCACCGCTTGCGCGCCTCTAAACGCACTTTCCTCCATCGCGAGTGGCCAAAGTAAACGGCCAAACAAGCAAACAGACACTCTACAAATCTCGTCACCCAAACAGCCATCACCCGCCCGTAACTTTGCCCGGCTAAAGAAATATTCGCAAAGGCGACTCTCGACGGAAAGTCGTTCCCGAGTTTCAGCGTTTCATTTTTCTCGTTTTGTATCCCTAGGCTCCTTTTTTCTCTCTATCTCTTTTTGAGATTCTGTTTTATCCAAGCTTTCTCCTTCTTCTTTTACTATTTATGTTCTACTGCAGTATAGCAAATACATCCATATTTAATTACTTTCTCTCATATCAATCGCTTTTATCTTATTGGTATTTTAGCAAATTAATCGATCTTTAATAAAACTTTAATTGCTTGGCATAAGAGATGTATCTAATAGCGAATTCGGCAGCTTGCACTAGTGTGCATTAAGGCTTGTTCACAGTCAATTCTTGTATTCAAGGATCATCTCAAATACATTTTGAAATACTTCTAAGCAAGTAAAATGATCTGCATAGCATTTATACGGATCATTTTTTTGGCTAAATAGTTTTTGAACAGTTTGAGATGACCATAAATGTAAGAGTAGATTCTGAACAAGTTTTGGTGTGCAGTCAATGCGCACTAGTGCAAGCTGTCGAATTCGCTATATCATTGAAATTAGAGATATCTCGGAATTTAATTTTTCTCTCTCTCTATTTCTATCTCTTTCTCTCTATCTCTATGGATATAATTAAATTTTATTTACCAATACTCACAATTAGCATACTGAAACTCACTGAATATTAAGAAATATCCCTTGTAAATGAGTTTTCATCATTACAAAATGTCGAGACTACTCGAAAAAAATATTCTTAGAACTTTTAAATTGTAATATAAAGTTTATAAAATATTTCCTGCGCACACCACATTTAATTATCCCATCGCTTATATGATTTAATAATTTTTTTAATTAATTTTTTTCTGTAATCTTATGAATTTATTATAAGCGACGATTTATTTCTAACTAATAATAAGACCCTTGTTAATAGTTTTCTAGCATTATTGTTGAATTTCCCTCTTCCCGTTTACTTTTCTTTTTTCCTGCTTTTTACATTCCTCTTTTTCCATCGTTTTTCCCCCCGTCTCATTTTTCCGATTGTCTCGTAAAAGCGGCTTTGCCTATCGTAACGAGACGTTTGAGGTGAGTTTTGTCGCGATTCGACGGTGGTATACCGGTAATGCAAAACATAAGCGGAAGAGCTCGACTATATACCGGCAGGCGCGGCGTTAAATTCATCGAGACGCATAAATGCGAGAGTTGAGGATAGAATGTATTGTAGGGTTCTTCCATCTGTCGCTTTCCGAAACCGTTGCGGCGGTAGTCATTTCTAGACGAATATCGGCTTGTAAAACATTCCATTAAAAAATATCACGGATCTTGCATCCATAGATTTCAGATTAATTACTATATACATACAAGTAAAGGAATAAATATTAAATAAATGTACTGTGGTTCAAATTTTATAAAATGAATTACATTTATTACATTTATTCAACGTGATCTTGTCGAGCGAATTCTCTTTCAAAGGTAAGGAGAGAGATTTGGAAAGTTGATGGAAGATACGCTGTATTTCCGACGAAAGCAGTACGTCTCAGATTAAATGAAAAATTTCTAAATAAGATCGAGAATTTGCATCGCGGTATCGCTTCATCGATGACGTCGCACGCCTTGAGAAAGGCCGCGGAAAAAGAAGGGTCTCGTTTAATTTAACTCAATTTATTCTTTCGTTTGCCCGCCTCTGAATGGCCATCCCTTTTCCATTCACCCTTCGTTAAGCGGTCGATAAGTGAAAATTCCCGATTGGCCGGAAGCTGTCTTTCTATAGTCCGCACGTTCCGGTCCTTATTTATTCCTTTCAGCGTCACGCATTACCGCTCGATATTAGATGCACAATGAAGCATCTCGACATCTTCCCGATGGGACCTTCGCGTCGTGTTTATAATTATTGCTTTGTGGATGCTCCTCCACGAACCATACTTCAACTATCCACAATCTGGAAGCTGGCAGCGTCTACAAAGTTCCTCCAGATCTGTTTTGGACTGCTTTGGATTTGTTTTAGAACTATTCGATACATTTCGGGACGCGAGACGTATTGTGTATCTCATATGGGGAATATGCATAATTTTACCGAGAGAAATGTACATATTTAAAGAAACGTACACATTGTACACAATAAAGTACACATTTGTGAAAATGTACAAAAGAAGGAAGATGTTTTTCAAGCAGCAAAAATATATTTGGGAAGATTTAAATTGATGAAAGATGATATTATTTTATTAAAAATAGCAAAAGCATAACATTTGTAGGTATATTAAGAATTATTTAGACGTAACCTGTGACTTCTGTGAGCATATGGATAATATTTATTATCTCTTAACGAGATATTCTAAATTCTAAAAGATATGTTTTAAAATTCGCGTTGCTAAAAAAGGATTGATTATAGATTAAAACAAAAAAAACGGCGATAACTTTAGATTATTTATGACTGTTGAAAGGTTGAATATTTTTAGTTGTTCTAGAATTACTTTTTTACTCGTACGAACACGTCAGCAACATTTATAAATCATCACTTACTACATATTGAGTTTTTACAGTTAGAACAGAATCTATTTTCAGTATCTACTTTTGCTTCTAATAAATATAGAATAAACGGGAATAAAGTTTTGGCAAATTTCGGAAATATTTTGTATTATTTATCATCTGTTTAAAATAAAATAATAAAAAAAAACAATAAACTATTTTCTTTCACGTGATAAGTTATTAATTCTATCTTTATAAAAATATAAAACCGTTTCTTGACGAGTTTTATTTTGTCTCTTGAAATGCACAAAACCGATTGCAGTTATTGAAAATTGAATGAAAACACAGTTTTTATTTTAAGCGCAAAAACTAATAAAGACTTATACAGCATGAATGTTTAGACGGAAGAATTTGAAAAGAGTTAAACGGAATCTGATGGATGAAAGTAAATTCCCGCGACAATTCGTCGAGATCACGATGCAAATTGGGCAATTTACGATAGAACGGAAGAATGCCAGTCGTTAAGGAAATGCGTATCGGGTGCAGGTGTCACGGCGCTTGCCTGTTTGCGAGAAATGGATCCGCAAAGAATATCCTTGCGCGCGCTAGTTTTCCTCTAGGAAATCTTATTTACTTGCTGAGAACGCGGGGCGAGGTCGGCTGAAATTGAGTGACGTCAGTAATCAAATGCCATTCACCCGTTATGAAGACGTTTCGCCTCGGTGGAAATTATCATGCGAATGCGCGACTGGAGGAAACGATAAAACCTTGATAGTTTGCGAAATTTTCTTGTCTACGTCAAACTATAATATCTACCTATCTTTCTTCACGGTCCGCCCAGCCCCGCCTTCCTTTTCTCTTTCCCGTCGTCGCTCGTCTCTTACGGTATCTGCAGTCTTTATTAAAATCGTAATCTTTTATTTCCTCTCGCGGACATTCGCTTGTACGTTTGAACGGTCTATTTAGCTTTTTACTCTAGATGTAGTTATTCGAGACAAAAGATAAATTATATTTGACTTTATGCATTGACAAGAACTGCTAAATATTCATGTTCACTTTTGTGCAATTCCCTCATCGGTCTCTTTATCTTATTGTTGCTTGTTACAATTTTTTCCTTCACAGTCATTTGTGAATCAAAGCAAAAAAATTTATGTCTGCAGCGGTATGTGTTTATGCATATAATAAATTATTAATAAATATATAATAATGAAGAAATTAATAGATGATTAATACGATACCTGAAATAATCCCGATTTATCGGTTTATTAATTAGCTATTATTATCGATATTCGAACATGTAAGCATTAAAACCTGTGCTCTGATGCATTTCCATTAAAATCATTTTATTTCTGTTTCTGAAATAAATTCCACTTGAAATCAACTGAAAACCTATTTACATCGTTAAGCTTAATCTGCGAAACCTTTTAGCTTCTAGTATTAAATATTGCCGTAATTAGAGCTCTTTTAAAATCTGCGCCGTGAAAAGATTGATCCATTTCATACATAAAAATTTTCATCTGGATATATTACGATATATTACGTATAGATACATATATATATATTATTATATATACTTTTTTGAATATTGTACAAAAGATGTACGATTCTATTTATAAGCGTGGACAGTAAAGTGGAATGACCGATAATATGCGTGTTTCAACGAAACTGCGAATGGCCCGCTTTAGCTGGAGCACGCGTTGGCATTCAGAAAAAGTAATATCTCACCGGAGTGGAAGGTCGTAAGGCCAATATCGCCGTATGTCGTTGCTGTGCAAGTGTGCGTTTCAAAAGCGGATTAGTTCCGGTATTGTATTTACAGGTGGTCGCGCACAGTCGGGCGGCTTAGTTGCAAAATTGCCCGTACATAGCGTGATATATATCTCATGGTTCTCGTATTCATCGGGTTCGGCGGCCCTCGAAATCTGCGCACGTTCGCGTGACACGATAGGTATCTACTCTTATTGAGATTCTAATATCGCCGGGATCAACCCGGGGATCCGTTAAGGGATTTCGCTAAATTAATCTTGTTTTTTCCGAAATCTATTACCGTCCCAAGGGGGCATCTCCATAATTGATACAGACTGATCGAAATCCCTCGGGCTATATTTGTACTTGTGTGTAATCTGCGTGTCAGGGGCGATCAAGATTTCGTACTTACCAAAAATATCGTTTGGATAGATCAGGAACGCCAGTAACACCATTAGAAGTGCCTTTTGCCAATCCACCATTTTGCCACAATCATGGACCCAGCTGAAACATTAAGTATTACGTAACAAGTGTAACAAGCATTACGTAACGTGTCTCCAAGTAAATTTTTTATATAATAATAGGAAAAATTATTTCACCACTTAAACTGGCCAAGTAGTTTATTTACTTATTCCAAATTTTCTACTTTTTCCACAATTTTTATATATTATATATCACTTTAATTTCGCACACCTTTTTGCGTATTTTAATTTACGTATCGTTGCTCTCTTTTTAAATAATAATGTTTTTAAATCATTCTTCGAATCGTAATTTATGAAAGGATTGCCATCCTTGGTAGGAGATATCACAGTTCTCTCGCATTATTATATTATTAATTAATAAAATATTGAATATATTGCTTAATGCATGGACAAAAATGATATTTAACGAGAATCACGAGTAATTAAACACGTCATGTCAGTTAATTATAGATATAATTTATCCCGCGTATCCTTTTGATGGTTTATATAGGAATTATTGATGAATATAATTAAATGAATCTATTCTGTCTTTGTATTCGATGATTGGAAATGAAACGCAACTACAAAGGAGGATCAAAAGTTATAGAATAACAAATACGATCGCAATTGCATTCACGGAAATACCTATCGTTTATCACCGATCAATTTTATCGTGTATTAAGAAATGCGGATAAAACGATTTGATCGCCGATATGTAAATAATCGACACAGATTCTGAGCATTAATCCCCTCGAATCGCGCACCAACACGGCGTCCCCCCGTTGCTTTATTGGCTTGGACGTTTGCGCACGGCTGGGGTGAAAATAAAAATAATAAAGTAGACGTGAGGCGTGGTAGAATATATTACTGGCGGGAACATTAAAGTCGTGTCAGCGTCTGTGATGATATTCCACGGGGATATTCCTTATCTTTTCATCTAGACTTTGCGTACAGATCAAAAACGCGCACCCGTTTTTCCTCTGGTTATATCAGGGACGGTGGCGGCCCCGTTTATTTACCCGATACTATATCAAGGATCAAGAAAAATATACAAACAACGAAAGTAAGAGATCTTTCGGTACATACAATCGCAAACTCGTGCAAGAAGCGAGTTAATCTTTGGCGACGGCGCAATCCATTGTTTTCTCTCTCAACTGGCGTGACAGAAATTTAACGGTGTACAAACAATTGGTTTTTTCGATATAAAATCGTTGTGAGAGATCAAATATTAAAATTTCCTCGATGATCCTCAAGGTTTTATTTAATATGAACTTGATATTATCGTAGGAAGTGAATTTTCACCAAGGATGTTAGCAACGCGTAATTGCGTAGATTTAGTGGCGAAATTAAATGCACCTCGCAATGAAGCGAGAATTGAAAATATGTTAAGATGTGTGTTAAAAAAAATTTATCACCGCAACAACATCGCCTTTGGCGACCCGGTTAGAGCGTTGCAAGCGTTAAACGCCAATCAGGCAAGTTTCTCTTGTGCAGCAGCGCACTGATAACTCCATTACGAGGCGCAACGCAGCCACCTGACTTGTTAGACACTTTGAATCATAATATTAAATTGATGTGTCACTCATATCGATCTTCATGCAGTTATATAATAACGACGATAACGCACATCCCTCTCCTTACATTTTCAGGATGAGATAAGTAATGTAGCTGCACCAAATTTAACTATTTAACCCGCAGAAACGCATACGTAGAGGCGCGACGTGATTTAAGCAATTCTCTTACAATTCCCCATATAAGATTACGACGATTTTTCTATTGCTGCACGCAACACTTATTTCACTGCGTTATTCTCAAACAAATAACAATTGGTAGTTACAAATGATAATTGAATTGGTTCTGTTTGCAACTGATATGAGCGGTATGTCAAAATCACCGTAATATTAAATTCATCCTCCTCTGCATGCGAGCGCAAAGCTTAAAGCGTATTATACGTAAACGCTTGATTGCCCCTCCGGGGGAGCAAAGATTCTAACGCGACGTCGAGTATCCACGCTGTTGCGCTCGAAAGAGGAGTCATCGCGCGAAAGTTTGCCCACGACAACTCCGCGACGGAAAACGGTGGAAGTTAGGTACATTTATCGTTCCCCCCGGCCGGATGCACGCAATACGAGCGAAGTGTATCCATCATGTGGGCGCGTGCCCGCGCGACAAGAAGCGGAATCAAGTTCGAGACTCGGCGAGCTTTTCCACTCGAGTGCAATGAGCAGTAGCGGCTTTACCCAACAAGTTCCGAATGTGATGAGTGAAAAGGCGAGGTGATAAAACTTGACGTCGGTGTGGCACAAAGTTGCCCAAATAACACTCTCTTCCTCTCTATCTCTCTCTAGCTCTCTCTATCTCTCTAGCTCTTTCTCTAGTTCTCTCTCTCTCTCTCCCTATCTCGTTCGCGTGTTCGCGAAATTTGCAACTCTCACAGACATAATGCGAATACACACAAGAGCTGAGTACCCTCGCAGCGCAGGTAACCGGTGACAATAGCGATAACTCCCAGCGTGTTCCAGTAAAGTGTCGTAAACGGAAAATTTGTATAATGTAAAGCGTTCTCGGGGAAAGAAATTGTAAATTGAAATGCGTAAGCGCTAAGGTAGCTGGGGCGCTTTTACAGAATAATAATTTGTATTGAGGTATCGCCGTCGGTGTCGTTCTTACGATACGGACGGTAGAAACAACCGCGGCTTATCCTATTTTATATCGCACGGTTACTGCACGCTCGTCCGTGAAGCGAGGAGCTGCGCCATGCTCATATACCACGGGCGACGTGACTTTATTCAAAGCGGATTCCGTCGTTTACTCGATACACAGGCCGGAGTAATATCGAGTTTGGATTTCGACTAACAAGAGACCGGCACGAAAAGGCGGCTGGCGAACGACGAGCTCCGCGTAAACAATACCATCGAGTAATTAGACGTATACGAGACAATTCTTCCCCGACGAATGGAGAGTCGCGCGTCATGGTAGACGAGCCGTATTGTTTTACACGGGTTTAGGACGACAATTCGAAACCAAGAACGAAGACGAGCCCCTTTGTCTTACGCTGCGCCTTTGTGCATTTTGTGCAAATTTTCAGTTGAAACACTTTTGTGTCGACCCTGCCCTGCTCATTTTCGTTCAGCTCCGTCGGTTTTGTGGCGGCAAAATACCTGCGTTATTATTTGCATCCATTTAAATTCTAAACATGAGAAACGACCCGAATAAAAGTTGCGTATTACGGTAAGAAATAATATTTTCGATATCTTTGAACGCTCCCCACATCTTTGTTACCTATTCGTGCGAGCCCCTCTCGGAATCCAGAATCAACCTCGCGAAAGAACAAGTAGAGAAAATTGACGAAATTATACACCAATCGTGTACTCTCCTATTAGAATGAAGAAATTTATGAAATATAGAATATCGATCAGCTTGACTTTTGAAAGGTGTGCTTATTGCACGAACGTACCTAACGTGAATTTCACGAGAATAGCACCGAGAATAGCAGATCGTGTAACGAAGGGGCGATACGTTTGGCCGATCGCAAATTATTGGGGATCTCTGAAGTATTAGAGTAACCTCGCAGTGGTTACAGTCCGTGATTAGTCAGACGCGCGGAGCTAAGCCCAAGTCGTGTACACCTGAGTTCGGTAATTTATGGCCAGGCCATTGTAACATTTCGGTACGTGATACTTTCGAACGAGCCGCGCGATTATTACCACATTCGTAATTGAAGGTGGGAGCGGTCGAAAGAGAGAGAAAGAGAGAGAGAGAGAGAGAGGGGGGGGGGGTCCACGCCGCACAATGTCAAAAAATTATCGCGTATTATAATCATATGTCGCGTACACTCGCTTAGCGCGCGGAGCGGATTTAAAGCAACGTTTTAGTATAACAGCAATTGGAATATTCTTAATAAGTTTGTATATACTTCTAGCCTTATACTTGGAATAATTATTTAAATTATGCTCGCGGCTGGTTTTAGAAACAAATGGAAGCCACTAGAAATTGCATAAGATTATTATATACTATGAATATTTTATGATATAACTACTTCAAATTTAATCTAAAATTCTCCGGTTTCCGCAAAGTTTCCTTTCTAATGAGTTCATTTAAACGCATAAAATTCAAATCTTCCTAATGGTGAAACTTTTAGATGCACATAGCTGGAAATTAAACCATGCCGCAGTCACGTGATAAATGTGTCCATAATCCGAATGCATCTCCGTTGCGATTCGAGGTAAAGAACATCTTGTCATGATGAATTCAGGCTCTGTTTGATTATCTTTTCAGCGAGTCGCGCGGCGTCTCGCAAGGACCAGTTTACGCTAACAACACAAAGTGGTCTCGCGCGAAAACCTCGTTACAGAATTTTAATTATTCCCGACAAGTGCCGGCTGCAAGAATCGCGATAGAAAAAAATTACTGGCGCGTATCGCGTCGCCTTAATGCGATCTACGGTAGGTAAAGCAACGTCATGTAGGGCATAAGCGCGTGCGAATACGAGCAAATGGTTTTTACAATGCGGGCATTATATGGCGGTTGTAATTCTTGCGGTTTCTCCGTCGGGCGCGGAGGCGCCACGGCGACGCACTTGCACAAGAAACTAATCTGCATTCGAAATTTCATTCTTGTCGAATGTGAAATGAAATTTCACCGGCGCGCTGACGTTGTCGCGCGACGCATATCGAGCGTACATTAATTTAAGGAAGCCCGCCCGACCCCGCCATTTGCCAAGAGTCGTCTGTGCGTTCAAGGTTCAGTTCGCCATTTCGCTTTGTTTCGCGCAAAATGTCCATTTACGCGTCCACTCGTAAATACGATTGGCTCTAGAGGAGCCCGAGATAGGACACGAGATCGCTGAATCAGATTCGAGCGGTTTAACTTCTCGTCGTTGACCCTGTTTCAGGATGTTCCCTCCCTTATGGGGGGTTAAGGGGGCGAGCGTTTTTCCTTTTTCACTCTCAACTTTTTGCGGTTCGTGTGGCTGCCGGTGGTAACTACCGGAAAATGTCAATTCGAGTGAGACGTTTAGTATTAGTGACCACAAAGTGACCACTGAAACGTACTA